GATGGCCTGGGGAAGAAACTGTCCTTGTGCCTGGTTGTCACTTCCTGGAGATACCAGCCTCCTCTGTCTGTCGCCAAAATAAAGGCAATTCTACCAGCCAAGAGAGTGGGCCACATGAGTATGGGTGTCCTTTTTTTGTAAGCAGTACCACTAACAATCTTTTATTGTTTTTTCTGATGTACTGTCAGGGAGTCAGACACAGCTGCTGTTTTTCAAGTCAGAGAATGGATCGTTTAAGGAAGAAAAACATTGTTAGATACATCTATCACAGACAAGTGCTCTGCTGTATGTTATTGTTGTGCTCACAACTCAGCAACATTTTTGGAAGGGATGTTTTATACTGAGGAACCCAAAATATTCCTAATTAATGACTAACATTGATTTCCAGGCATTAAAGAGCAGAATGACTGTCACCAACCTCCAGCACCCTGCTCTGACTCTATTGTCAAAACAGAGACTTTGAATGCAAATACATCCTGCCTCCTGTATAACTTCCTTTACAGTTGGAAGACTGTATTCCATCTCAATACCCCCAAACACACAGAATCAAGCTTTGCTTTGTGTTTCAAATACAGTTTATGTGTAAGACCCCATCATACACCACTCTGCAAACAAACCAGATGTGGACATCAAAAGGCCTAGTCTCATCTTCATGACTGCAAGGGACAAACTCTCCTTGTGACTTACTGCATTAGAATATACATTGCCCTCTTCTTATCAAATAGAGAGTCCAGATTCTGTCTCCAAAGACCAGAACTCCCCCTCTACTTTGACTTGCCTCACACCTCTGACCTTAGACAATAAGACCCCCTGGCATGCAAGCTCTTCCTCAGAGCTTGTGACCATAACATAAAAAGAACTGCCTATGATTTGCCTTTCACTTTTACTCTATAACAGCGGTCTCAAACTCAACTTACCTGGGGGCCTCTAAAAGTAGTGTCTGGGTGAGGCTGGGCCGCATCAAGTATTCCACAAAAAAAGTACAACTGATCTAATCTTCTCAATCTTTACTAATAATAATTCAGAACATGAACGGTTCTGCAGAACATAGGCTTCTCTTACTTCCTCCTACTCCTTGCTGCCAGAGACCTGGCAGTACTTCCTCTTACACAGCTGAGCCACATTTGGCTTCAGGGAGGAAGCAACTGAGACCCTCAGCATGGCTTGAAGATGCTCATCAGAAAGTTTGGACCTGAACTTTGACTTATTAAAGTTCATGGTGGAGAAGAGCTTTTCACACAGATAGGTGCTCCCAAAAAGGCACATAGTCCGCTTGAACATCCTGGAAAGCTCAGGGAGGGTAAGGGGCAGTTCTCTCAAAAATTGTCCAAGCTTGTCTGCTTTTCCACTCACCTCCCTGAACTTGGCTTTGAGTTCAGAATTGCACTGCAGGTCAATTAGCTCCATTTGAAGCACGGGGGGGGCATCTTCCACATCGAAGGAGAAGGGGTCAGCAAAAATTTGAAAAGTGGCTCTGTGTGTCTTGAAATCTGCAAACCTGTGATCAAATTCTTCCTGTAGCTTTACAATGGCATCAGCATACTTCTCACCACTGAATGGTGTGCCAGAATCCATGAGTGCCTTGCATGCTGGGAAATGGCAGAGGTTTGTCTGAGAAAGCTGGGCTTTCCATAACACAAGTTTTGTGGAGAATGCTCTGACATTGTCATAGGCAGCACTGAACAAGCTGTCTCTGACCTTGTAATTTCTTGTTCAGTACATTCAGCTCCTGTGTGATGTCAACAAGAAAAGCTAAGTCCATGAGCCATTTGGGATCACTTAGTACAGGAACAGCCATCCCATCCTTCTCCATGAAGGTTCTCACCTCTGCTCTCAACTCAAAAAACCTCTTCAAGACGTTTCCCCTGCTAAGCCAACGTACCTCGGTGTAGTAGAACACATCCTCATATGCTGACTCTATTTCCTCTAAAAAGGCATGGAACTGCCGGTGCTTTAGGCCCCTGGATCTGATATGGTTGATGCATTTCACAACGTCAGACATCACATTGTCAAACTTCAGGCATTTTCTGCAAAGGTCCTGCTGATGGATAATGCAGTGCAGAGCAATGGCCTCTTCCACAGCCTCTTCTTCCAATTTTCTTTGAACAAGTGCCACAACTCCATTCCTCCTCCCTGTCATTGATGGTGGTCCATCGGTTATTATTCCAGCAAAACTCTCCATAGTAAGCCGGCATCTGCAATGGCATCACACAGCTGGCGGAATATCTCCTGAGCAGTGGTCTGGCCATGCATTGGAATCACTGTGAGCAACTCCTCCATCACTTCAAAATTGTCGTCAACTCCGCGGACATAAATTGCGAGCTGCGCAGTGTCAGTGACGTCTCTGGTCTCGTCAAGAGCGACTGAGTATGCATGGAAATGTTTAGCTTTCTCAAGCAGTTGATCGTAAATGTTACCTGACCCGTCAACACCATGGACATATATTGCGAGCTGCGCAGTGTCAGTGACGTCTGTGCTCTCATCAAGAGCGACTGAGTATGCATGGAAATGTTTAGCTTTCTCACGCAGTTGATCGTAAATGTTACCTGACAGCTCAGAAATACACTCTGCCACTGTGTTGGCTGAGAGGCTGATGTTGCTAAACTGACCCTTCTTTTCCGGACAGACTATACTTGCAGCCTGTAACATGCACTTTTTGATGAACTCGTCGTGTTTAAATGGCTTTCCTGCCTTAGCAATCATCTCACTCACTACGTAGCTGGCTTCGACTGCTGCATCACTCTCTTTGCTTGCTTTCTT